CAAGACCTTCGCTGATATCAATGCTATCAAATCTGGTCTGACATCATTCTTCGGCGGTAAAACCAAAGAGTTCTTCACGAATGGGATCAAGTCTTTGATGGATCGATGGCAGATGATAATCGATAATAATGGCGATTATATCATTGATTAATCTTAATTTGTAATTAATTAAATTGATTTTGAATTATAATAAACTAGTGCCCGGGAACATTCCGTGCTCCCTTATATAGCACCAGAAGTCTTGTGGAATAAAGTATACGATCATAAATGTGATATCTATAGCCTTGGCCAAATTGGTGAAAGAATTTTTGAATTTAATTTATCTGACATTGATGCTGACAAGTATTTTAATTAAATACAATTTATATATATATAAATTTTCTAACAATATATTTTTTAATTATAGTGGACATAAATATTCTACAAAATATCCTCATTTAAAAGATTCTGTAAGTCTTTTACAATCAATATTGTTAACAACGGTTTTATACCCTCAATGGCGTCGGAGACCAGAATGTAGTGAAGTGTTGGCTAAATATAACGAGTGGTCTATCGATAAGAATATTCTCGCAAAAGATTCAGAATTTGAGTCAACAATAAATATATTAAAAGCATAGGATAATTCATTATATTTGAGCTACTTTAAAAATATAATGCCTGAAAATGTCACACCGAATAGGTTTGCACGTATAAAAATTTAATTACATTTACTGTGGAATTATATAATTACCATATATTATACTAAAAATCATTAATATTAAATAGATTTAAATTATAAAATAAAATTCGGAAATATTATAATTATATTATAAAATTTGATGTTCAATATTTGTACATTTTAGTCTGGTATTATATTTAATATTTACTATTTAAAATTCTGAGTTAAGTAATAATAACAAAAAAATGAATTGACTAAAGTTGTCCCAAAAATATTAATAGCTCAACAAATTAAATAATTATTAATAGGAGACATATTTTCACGTATTTAATATAATGTTTAGTTTAATAAATCCTGTGAATGTTTTCTAATGAGATTTTAACAAGATTATATAAATTATTCGTAAATTTTTGCTAATTTTATTTAGTTAACTTTAATAATTATGTTACTTACAAAATATTAATGAAAATTATAACCTTTCAATTAACAATTCTCATTTGATGTTCCCTAATAAGACACTTGATTGTAAACATCTTTATATGTTTCCAATATGTCAATTATATCAATTACTCAATTAACAATTATTCTTATTAATTTATAAAATTTTAGTGTTGTACGTCCGATTGATCAATGGATTGAGCCACGCCGTTCGGCAATATATTACAATCTTCAAGAATATTCGCAAATTGTGTACAATCTAAATCAGGCCCGTCCAGAATTTTTAAAATCATCAAAATAGTGTTTTATAATATTAGCAAACTTTTTAACTATTCAAAACACTAGTATTTTATGATTATAAGTGACTATGAATTTCATTTTAAACATATTAAACACAAAATAATATTCAAATGATTAATATACTAGTAAGTGTTTGTTAAACATACATTAAAAATATTTGAGTAAATAAGTAATAGCCATAAATGATTAATAAACCAATATTCATGAGTTTTTGAATAAAAGCTACTTTAATCCTTAATGTATTCTATAAACTTTAAAATACTAGTGTTGTATAGACTTTGCTTAAAAAGTAATAAATAGTAAATGCATACATCACTAGTTGGTTTCTGGAAACCATATATTTACGCCATTGATCTAAATTTTAGCGATTTTTTGAAACATGTTGAATTAACTGATGAATTTATGAGTTTATTAAAAAGTCACCCACTTGGTTTTATGCTTTATGACATAAAGGTACGTTTATAATTTTTCATTACTGTCTACAACGAGTAATTAAATTATAAAATAGTGTGTATTGTAAGCTTTGGCGCTGATCTTCGTAATAATTAGAACACCGGTAGCTTAATTATAGTTGATTTAGCTTGCTTAATAAAATTACACAGATGTAATATGCGCAAATTAATTATTTTTATTTAATATAGTCACTAATACATTACAAAAGCCATGCTATGGCATAACATTTACAATGCAAACTGCTTTTGTGTGTCACATAGCAATGCTCATCACATAACAATTGTATGTCTGTGGAATACCTCTCCCAACATTTACATAATCTTAGCATTTTATAGTCTCCCCCTAACAAAAGCCTTTATGTCAATAGTCTAGTAATATTTTTTTTACTATATTCTAGAAGTCTCATAACAAAGGCCTTTATATATTATGTAAGATTGAGTCATAGTATTACAGTATAAATCTAATTATAACCAACATGTTTATTGTAAATTATTTAAAAAACAAATAATGTCGTAAGGAATTACAAATGATTGTTCATAAAACATTTTCTGTTTATATATTTTATTTAGAAATTACCTAGTAAAGAAGAAATGAAAGTGCGAATATTTTCCGTAATCGCAAATGAGCGAGATAATTGCAACAAACTTGCTGACATGCTAGAAGAATCAGGGCAAAAAATAGCCGCGGATAAACTACGTAAATTCAACAAGTCCGAAACTCTAATGGAGTATGTTAACCATATTGAATTGAGCGTTGCAGTTTCAATTTTTTTAAGATCGGACACCACTCATACATTCAAAATGGACTCCAATCCCAGGGAAAAGGCATTGATTATTGTCAACATACCGGAGCTATTTAAAGAGGCTAAGCGATTTGAGTTCATTTTGACCAAGTTGCATTTTGATGTTCAACCAATTTGTGCGCTTAAATCCAGTAAAGATCTTGATAAGGTGTTGGATGACCTAGCAAATGACAAACATGATGGTGATGCATTTTTCTTGATGTTCATTGGCCATGGTTACCAGGATAAAATTTGTGGCTACGGTGGTGATAGTGTATTCAGTAAAAATGAGCTATCAATTAATTGTATCCTGGATAAGTTTTCCGAGGGTAATTGTTTCGAGCTACAAAATAAGCCAAAGATTTTT